CTTTCCTGAAAAAATTTACATTTGCTTTTTTTTAGTGTCAAGCCTGCCTTTTCCAGTCTTTCCAGTGTTACTGCCAAATTTTTCTCATGCTCTTCTTTGTTCTCCCCCGTGACAATAATGTCGTCTAAAAATACTGCCACATTTTTGATGTCTGCCACCCACGATTCAATGTGTTTTTGAAATGCAAATGATGCGATTTTAATACCGAAAGGTAACCTATGCACCCTGTATAAGCCTCGATGTGTTGCCTAAGTCAATATCTCGCTTGCCTCTTCATCTACCTCAAATTGTAGATATGCTCGATTCATATCCAGCTTGGAAAAGCTCTGTCCCCCTGCTAACTTTGCAAGAATTTCTTCGTGCCTTGGTAGCGGGTACTGCATGTCCACCAGGTGCTTGTTGACTGTCGATTTATAATCCGCACATGTCCTTAACTCGCCATTCTCCTTTAACACACATACCAGTGGCGTTGCCCATTCTGTAGACTGTGTCGGTGATATCACTCCCTCTTTTTCCAGCTTCCCCAGTTCTTCGTCAAGTTTTTGTCTATACGCTAGCGGTACATTCCTTGCTTTAGCGAAAACCGGCACTGTTTCTTTCTTGAGATGTAACCTTATCTTTGCCAGCTTGAATTTTTCTAGCTTTTCACTAAAAAGGTTTGGGAATCTTGCCACTATTTCCTCCTGTTCATTTTTAATCCAATTCACTACCCCTAAACCAATACCGAATTCCTCCAGCCAGTCCTGCCCCAGGATACAACAGGCAGCTTCCTCTACAACATAAAATTTTATTACTTTACATTTGCTTTGGTACTCCACCTCTGTTTTAAAATAACCAAATGGTTTAAAATTAGTGTTATTGTACGATTTCAGGGTTATGTTACTATGTCTTAATCTAAAATGACTAAACCTACGTTCATGCAATGTTATCGGCATAGCGGAAATGCTTGCACCAGTGTCTACATGAAATTTCATTAAATCATTGCCTACTTTAACATCTACCTGAAATTTGTTGTTCCTAACTGCGTTTTTGTTGTAACTGGTATTAACACTCAACACCCGTTCACAGAACCACACCTTCTCCTCAGCTTCTGCTGAATCGTCGCTTCTGCTATCGTCACTGTTGCCTTCTATGAAATGAAACCTCTTTCTTCTACAATACCGTGCCAAATGATTCGTGGAACCGCACGTCCAGCATCTACTTCGATTTGTTCTTTCTTGTTTATAATGTTTACATTTATAATCCGCCATCTTGTTTTGACCTTCACGATCCTGTGCATTTGAACTACGTGTTCTGTCATATTCATTTGCGCGCGACTTTTGAAATTGCTTCGTTCTGCTTTCGACGTTGTATTTGCGCACTAGGTTTACTTGCGCATGCAATTTCCAAAATTTTATCCAATGTTGCATCATCTTTCTCTTCTATAATCCGTTCGTAAACTTTCCCTTTTTTCATTCCCGTAACCAACTTTAATTTCAAAATCGCCTTCAGGTTGCCTTCAAAACTGCATTCGCTGGCTGCCCCGCAAAGTCTCGCGTAGAAGTCTCCTACTTTGTCTTCTTATTGCTGGTTTATTTCCATAAAAGTCCTTCTTTCTTTCCACACCGATAGTTTTTGGCAAAAATGTTCCTTCAACAACTTGTTGAGCTCGTCAAACGTGCGTTCTGCGGGTTTGGCGGGAAAGCATAAGTCTCGACATAATTTGTAAGTCGTTGCCCCCATTAAACTTAACAAAATAGGTACCTGGACTTCCTCCTTGACTGCTTGAGCTTTGAAGTGTTGCTGGAGCCTTTCACTATAAATCTCCCAGTCATCTATTTCCACGTTGAACTCCTGAAACCGTATGTTCGTCGCCATTTTGCCCTGCACGCCGAAAACTTCCTCACTAATTAATTTGTGCTTTCGCGAACTTCTTTTAACTCTGCCCTCGGATTCTCACTCACAACCTCGTCGCCATGTAATGTTCGAGGTGCCAATCGGGAAACTGGGGATTGAAACACAGTCTTTACTCTAACACAAGGTATATTGCATCTATATAACTTGGCTCTTTGCTATCTCGTACCACACTGACATGGACAAAGTCCATGTACGCGTTACTCGATATCCGGGCATGCGCCCTAATACATACATATATTACAATAATTAAAGCCTACACCAAGGTTCGCCCAATTAGTTTAAAAAAAAAACAATATCTATTAAAATTGTGCAAGGGTGAAGATCCCCCAGTTCCTGAAGAGTTCCACCAATATTACAAGACTTTCCAGAACCTTCAATTGAAGACAGTGACATGGAAAGCGGAGAGGAAGACTAGATCGGAGTTTTTTTATTATAATACTGTAATATTATGTTTTGAGTTTTTTCCAGGAAAATGTGAAAAAAGTTCAAGTAAAATAAGATATGTGCGACAACTTTCCTTTTTTTAAAAAAAAAACAATTATTTTACAAACCAAATGTATTTTTCACGTTTTATTACATTCTAGCTTTGCTGTTCAATAAATGTTTTAGACCAACACGGCTTTTACTTTCAAAGTGGATTTTTAAGCGTCTTCCAAACTTAAAACATTAAATTACTCAAAACTACATTTTTGGAGTTATCTGGTTTTTGCAGTAACCCGTAATATATAATTATAATTGCAAAATATTATCACAAAGTATTAAAAATTCTTACACGGGAAATGTTAATGGTGACAATTACGTCAAAAATGTTTATAATTTCGTTCATCTTCTACGGGAGGAAGGAAGGCAATCTATAATTCAGGCTTAAGTGTATGATTTTAAGTGGGAAATATATATATGTATATATATATATATATAGCTTTTGACAGACCATTCAGGCCCATAGCTTTGTTATCTCCTTCCACTTTTTCCTGTCCTTCGCCTTTGTTTTCCATCCGACAATCTTCTTTTCTTTTAGGTCCTTTAATACTTCTTCCATCCATTTTTTCCTTGGCCTTCCTTTTCTCCTTTTTCCTTCTGCCATTTTGCTTCCAATTTCTTTGACCAGCCTATGGTCATCCATTCTTTCCAAGTGTCCTAGCCATTGTATCCTTCTTGATTTAACCACTTCAGTTATTATGGGTTCCTTATATATGTCACAAATTTCGGCATTTGTTCGCCTTATCCACCCCTCTTCGACTTTTTTTCCTCCAAATATTCTGCGTAGAATTTTTCTTTCCCATATCTCCAGTTTAATTTGATTGCTCCTATTTAATACCCATGTTTCGCATGCATATAATACAGTAGGTCTTATAATGGTTTTATACATTCTTATTTTTACTTTTAGGGATAATTGTTTTCACTTTAGAATTTTATTTAAACTTTCTGCACATCTATTTGCTTTTGCTACTCTTAGGTTAATTTCTTCTTCTTCGTCGCCTTTATTGTTTATTAAAACTCCTAGATACATATAGCTCTCCACCTCCTCAAAATTAATATTTACACCGTTAATTGTTTAAACTATTAGTGTTTCCATCTCTTGTGTGTTCTTTTTTCTTCCTATTTTCATGTATTTACTCTTTTCGTAGTTTACCCTAAGTCCCATTTTCTCTGCCATGTTTATAATATTCGCTGCTATCCTCTGTAGTTCTCGTGCCATTAAAACCACATCATCTGCATATGCTAAACAGTGATGGCTTCTAGAAAATAAAGATCCATTTCTGTTAATTCTGCTATCTCTTATAATTTTTTCCAGAACTAAATTAAATAGAACTGTTGAGAGAGGATCTCCTTGTCTGAGTCCCGATTTTATCTGGAACTCCTTTGATGTTTTACCATTTATCTTTACCAAACCTGATGTCTTACTTAGGGTCATCTTTACTAATTCTATTAATTTAAAGGGTATTTTAAATTCTTTTAACGTATGAAATAGCTGTTTTCTTCCTACTGTATCATAAGCGGCTTTAAAATCTACAAGAAGCATAAACATTGGTATATTATATTCACACAATCCTGATAACACTTGTTTTAAGGTGAAAATTTGGTCATTTGTGCCTCTATTTTTTCTAAAACCACCTTGATATTAATGCTATTCCATTGGCCTCTACATTTCTTTGTTCATCTATATTGATTTTCTTTAAATGTTCATATATTCTTTTCCTATATTCATTTGAAGCCCCAACTTGCTTTAGATTTTCAGTATTATATCTAGTATTATATTTTTTCTTTAGTTTTTTTTCAATTATAGGTTTTGGGTATTTAAATTTTATAGCTACTAGAAAATGATCAGAATCAGCCTCTGCTCCTCTGAATGTTCTTACATTTTTTATTTGTCTAGAATATTTATCTGCTATTAAGACATGATCTATTTGGTTGGATTTTGAAATTCCAGGAATCATCCATGTACCTTTGTGAATATCTTTTCTTTTAAAATGCGTACTCATAATTTTCATATTCTTTTCTATGGCTAAACTTATCAAGCTTTCCCCATTATCATTACTTTTCATGTGCTTACTTTCTCCTCCTGTTATATTTCTGTATATATCCTCTTTTCCAATTTTAGCGTTTGCATCCCCCATTATATTTTTTATATCCCCATCTCTTATATTATCCATTATCGTTTCCAGCCTTTCATAAAATTCATTTTTTATTTCTTCATTTTTTTTCTTCAGTAGGGGCGTGGATATTGATTATTGTTATGGCTTTATTTAAACCTTTTAGCCTTATGAGACACACTCTATCAGAAATAGGTTTAAAATATTTTACTTCTCCTTTTAGACTATTCTTAATCAGAAAACCTACACCATATCTGCGCCTATTGCTTCCACTTGTAAATAAAGTAAAATTATCCATAGAGGATATTTCATTTCCAGTAAGATGCGTCTCTTGCAACGCTACGAGGTCCATATTATATTTATTTAACTCTCTTATAAAGCTCTTAAGTGCTCCTGCCTCACAAACCCCTCTTAAGTTCCACGTACCCATGTTTATGTTTTCCTTATCATTATTCATGTCCTTGTTCATAGCCTTGGTCGAAATTGTGTCATTTTCATTATGCCACGTATTTAGTTTTTTGCACCTGTTTGGGTCGAGCTACCTTCCCCACACTCTTCTTGCTCTATTGGTATCTCCACTAATTGTCTTGTTTCGTCATTCCACACCCATTTTTGTCCATCAATTATGAGCTTTCTGTATCCTATTTTTACTTTTCTTCCCTCTTTGGCTATGTTTTTTGCATACTCAGCTATTGTTTTTTGTACTTTTTGTTCTTCTTCCGTATAATCATTGTCTATGTAAATATCTAATCCCTTTAACTTACTTTTGTTTTGCATAATTTTTGTTTTCATTTCTCCATCTTTTAGATGAGCAACAATAAAAGACTTCCCTGTTTTTGGTTTGATAGTTTCTACTTTTAAAAATTCAATATTATCTACGCCCATTTTCTCTAAAACTCCCGATACTTCCTGAATTGCTAATTCTCTTATTCCTTTTGTACCTCTTATTATGACATTATTTCTTTTTTTCTCCTTTTCGAGTTTTTCCATTTTTTTCTCCACCTTATTAAGTTTTTCATTTAACTTTTGGTTTTCTTCTTTTAATGCTGAGATTTCTGCTTGATACTTTTCCTGTCCTGTTTTTATATTCCTTACTTCTTCAAATATTGTCATCATTGCTTTTAATTCCGCGTTTGTTACATCCATATTTTCGGGCAATTTTTGAACTGGACTGGTTGTGTTTTTTACTTTACTTTTTTGTAATGTATTTTTTAAATGCGGGTTTCTTCTTCTCTTACTTTTTTCACTTAGAATGTACCCTTCACCTGAATGACATTTAGTTTTCCCCTAACTTACAATTTCCTGCACAGTCTGGCATCACCGCCAGATCGTGCGCCAGCGTTTCTCCTCTACTGATTGCTTTGTGCTAGTTTGGAACTTGCTTACTTGTTTATAAATTTTCTGTTTGGTTCTTTTTATTTTTTTGGAATGTTCTTTTGTTCTTCTATAGATATACTTTTGTTCTTCTATAGATATACTTTTGTTCTTCTATAGATATACTCTCACTATTTCTACTTTTCTATACTTATTTCTCAATACACTTCTCGAATTTCGGGATAAATGTAGGTGATAAACACAGTACTTTTGTATACAGCGTTGCCGAATAAGTGGGAAATACGTAGTTAAATTTAACTACTTATTTCCCACTTAAAATCATACACTCATATAGTTAATTTTTCATATAATATAGAATTGACTATTTCTTAAAAGCTGTTCTACTTTTAATGAAATTTTCGGATTCAGAGGACAATTTTACATAAGAGTTGACTGTTAAATGACCGGGATACAAATTGCTGTGGACTACAGTTATAAGTTTTCAATTTAAAAATTAGTCATTTTTAACTAATTTAATTTTAGAGAAAAGGTTTCCAACTATTACAAGAAACGTGCTAGCATCTTATTGGCGGCATCACGTTTAGGTTTCCCAGAAACGCTTTAATTTTTCGGACCTCGCTAAAGAAGTTTTTCGACTGGGAATTTTTTAGTTAATAGGCATTAAAGTCTTAAAAACTTGGTAACACTGTGTATTTCCCAAGTCGATTTATGATCATAGAAACATCTATGTAAATAAAATATAGAGCACATCTTCATAGACCTGAAATTGACTTTTGTATTTTTTGACAATTTGTGTAAATCATCATAACTTTCTTATTTGATTAACAAATTTTAACTTTTTTTTGAACACCTTGTAACCTCAACTCGAGGGCTATGGCTAACGGCAGCTTTACAGTGGTAAGATGGGTCGATGGGCTAATGTTGTTCCTCAATACTTACGTGCATAATTCCAAAAGAAAACAACAAAATAAAAATGGGCGCCAGTGTCTTATTTGGGCCAGTTGGTAAAGTCTCCATAAGCCAGACACAAACTTAATGGGCATAAGGGCAATTAAAAAAAAGTCAAGTTTAAAAATTATTAAGTATAATAAAATTTGGTTATCACCGTTGTTAAGGTGATTTCATTTGAAAATGATTATTAGGACATTTAATTATGTTATTGGTGCACCCTTATATGGCCATATATGGTTTACAAAGAACCAAATTCGATATGACTAAATTTAACATGAGCAAAATTTTACTGGTAATATAAATAAAAACTTGAGTTACGATAAGTAAAGGTTGAAGACCAAGTTAAAGTTTCCTTAATTTAAAAATTCACAAAAGTTTAACGGCGTGTAGTGAACACTGTGTTTCTTAAAACATTACTATAACTTAAAAGTGGTTACGACCTGATTAGCTTGAGCTCTGGTGGATCCTGGAGAATTAGGAATCCAGGGTGGTTCTCTTGTTGACTCAAAAGTTGGTTTTGACGCCAAAACAGTCAAGGAAAACTCCCATAAAAACTGGTTGAACGAATTTTCCCGATGTAAAATGGTACAGGAAGGACTTTAACATCCTTACTTAATATCTGTACTTAAAATCCGTACTTAAAATCCCCTTGTTCTAAGGAGTTTTTTTAACCAATAACGTCACGACCGCATGGAGACTAGGTCAACAAAAAATATATTGGATTCAACAACCACCCTGAGCTCATCGTACCACACGAAAAGTGTCTTAGTCGGAAGTATTACTGCTCATTTATAATGGACGTAACCATAAGATGCCTGTAAGAAATACGTAAAACGTAAAGTTGAATATTAACAAAACCAGTGTGCCTGTTTATAATGAATAGCCGAAATTTTTACGTTTTACGTTCGAACATAAGATCTTAGTGCTCATTCATAATGGACGTAACCATAAGATGCCCGTAAGAAATACGTAAAACGTAAAGTTGAACATTAACAAAACCAGTGTGCCTGTTTATAATGAATAGCCGTAATTTTTACGTTTTACGTTCGAACATAAGATCTTATGGGTGACCGTAAAAAATACGTAAAGTTGAAATCATCTCAACTTTACGGGTTTCTTATGTGTGAATTTTAGTCACAGAACATAACTTTCATGATTTCACTAGAACATTGTTGGTAGCAATCAGGGTAGTAGCCATGCAAACAGATGACAGATCTTTTTCAAGTGTATTCTGGTGTATCCACAGAACAAACAATCTAAAGAACCATTCATTATCCTAAAGTTTTAGTTTGAGTATTATTCGACGAAATTCGCCCTTTTTTTCTTCTCTTTGCCAACGTATATATCGCTCATTACACTAAGGTTATAATAAAACTGATAGTTTTAACTTAATTTATATTTATAACTATAATTATTACGTCTTAAAACTTTTAAGTTTTAAGACAATAATTAGACGAAATCTGTCAATGCTGCCATTTTAGTGAACTTGGGCATGCGCGCCTTATTATTATATACATAAGGCATACGTTCATTATAAACACAACATCGTTACGTAGAAATTATGGTGATATTATGTTTACGTTTTACGGTCATCTTATGGTTACGTCCATTATGAATGAGCACTTACAATTAGATTGAGAGATTTACCACGCATTATTGGAATTTTTCCATAATTTAAGCACAGACTTAACTCTCATCTAATCGCTTCAACGACCAAATCGAAAAGGACGCTTAACTCAAAACTTTTTGCGTAGTAAATTTAGTGCGTAGCTAAATTAATGCGTAGAAAACCTGCTGGAAAAATCGCGAACCCAATCTGGCTATGTTGCCTATGTTAACAAACATTTTTTAAAAGAATTCCCACAAAGTCCACCAGAACTCAAACCTCAAACACAAATACTCCCTTAGTAAACCCTACACTTATACGCTTCTTGTGACATTTCCAAAATCCAAAACAACGACCTGCCCTAACGCAACTATTTGGAGAATTCCCTCTACTGACACTAAATTGTTGATAATGGCAAAACGTCTATCTAGGCAACGACATCCCTGTGTCAGTAAAAGGAACTCAAATAAACTAATTTATTCTCTTGGAAGGAGGCAACTAAACAACTAAACAAATATCCTTTTTAATAATAGTTAAACTTAAAATAAATCAACCAAATGGTTCACATCTAAACCGTTCTAGATGTAAAAATAACTAATAAAATAAAATAAATGGGTAGCTGTCAAAATGACGGTTACAACCTACAGCGAAGTATAACTTAAGTGTGCCATTTTCGGAACACCCTATATATATATATATATATATATACAGGGTGTTTCATAATATATGCGCAGGACTTCAGGATGTGATAGCTCATCCAAAAAGATGAAAAAGGTCGCTATTAACTTACGGTCTAAAATGTACAATTTTCGAGATACAGGGTGTTGAAATTTTAGAAAAAAATTCGTTTTTTTCGAATATCTCCAGAACCGTTTATCGTACAAAAAACAGCTTTTGTAAGCATTTTCTACTCAAAATAAGCTATGTTTTGTGCCAGAAAAAATTTTTTTTTCCTCATAATTGGTGGAGATTTTGAAGGGGTAGCGGGTGTTTTTCTTCTTAACTTCTACGCCCCTGAAAAAAGTACGGTTTTGAGAGGCCCATTCGAACCGCCAATGTTTTCTACACAAAAAAGGTACTCTTGGTCATAAGCTCTAAACTTGACCGTTTTCGAGAAAAATCAACTTTTATGTTTAAAAACATGGACAATTTAAAAAAAAACATTTTTTTTACTAATTAAACAAAATTTATTTTAACATTAGAACAAGTAACAAAACCAAACCATAATTTCAAAATAAAAAATGATTCAAAAGTTGTCTTTGCTAAATTCTCCAAACCGTAAAGGTAACGCATTTCGCACATTTCAGCATTTGTGTAAAAAATCATTTTTATTTTTTTTTTAATTTTGCAATTATCGTTTGGTTTTGTTACTTTTTCTAACGTTAAAATAAATTTTGTTTAATTAGTAATAAAATTTTTTTTTTCAAAAAATTGACCATGTTTTTAAACATAAAAGTTGATTTTTCTCGAAAACGGTCAACTTTAGAGCTTATGACCAAGAGTACCTTTTTTGTGTAGAAAACATTGGCGGTTCGAATGAGCCTCTCGAAACCGTACTGTTTTCAGGGGCGTAGAAGTTGAGGAGAAAAACACCCGCTACCCCTTCAAAATCTCCACCAATTATGAAGAAAAAAAAAATTTTTCTGGCACAAAACATACCTATTATGAGTAGAAAATGCTTACAAAAGCTGTTTTTTGTACCATAAACGGTTCCAGAGATAATCGAAAAAAACGATTTTTTTTCTAAAATTTCAACACCCTGTATCTCGAAAATTGTGCATTTTAGAGGGTAAGTTAATAGCGACTTTTTTCATCTTTTTGGTTGAGCTATCAGATCCTGAAGTCCTGCGCATATATTATGAAACACCCTGTATATTAGGGTGTTTCAAAAAAATCGACTTTTTCTTTTTCTTCAAATGGTCGGCAAATTCTTTCAGAGGATGTCAACACAAAGACTTCGTCAAAATGTGAGCTTTTAATTTGAAGATTTAGAGGTCGCGGATCGCAATTTTCTATTTCCCATTTAAATAACATGGGAATTTTTTTTTAACTTTGAAATTTTATACGTCTGAATCGAATCAACTTATGTCAAGGATCATCTTAGATTTTCATAGTAAATTTAACACTCTACAAAAAAGGTCTCCTATCATTTTTCTATAAATTGATTCCTTTCAGAGTTATTCGAGGCCAAAGTTTGATTTCCATCGAATTTTCGCGTTTATTTAACATTTATGGTACAATTATCATTATACGGGTGTCCCGAAATCAGGGGGCCAAACTTAAACAGTGCATTATTCGTATAAAAATAACACTTTTTTTGTTTAATAAACATGTATCAAAAAATGCTCCCTAAAGGAGCTACGGCCCCCTGAATAGGAGCCTAAGAGGATAATTTTTTTTAAACTATTCCTAGAGGGTTGAATATGAACAAATGAATTTTCTTACTACCTCGACTCAAAATACGTTGTTTCGTCCCCGATTCCACGGCAGAAAGTTTACGTTTTATGCATTGGTCAAGCGCACACTCTAATAGCGGGAGTAAAAATTTTTTAGTCGTGTGCTTAACATTAAAATTTCGTACTGCCAACATGAGAAACACAAAAATATGACAGTTTTAAACCATAATTTTGCAATTATAACAACAAATAAACAATTTAAGTTTTTACTTTTTTACTTTCTATGTTGTTTTAAGTGTTTAATGGTACTTTTATTTGTTATAAAGTAGTAATTTGTTAATTAAAATACAACCTTTTATTTTTACTGTATTGGCACCGCTGAATTCACGGCCTACTGTAATTTATTTATCAAGCTCTTCAAATGGAGATAGGTACAAATACACATTTAATTTTTTCCCGTATTTTCGGCCGAGGTAGTAAGAAAAATAGTATACACTACACGGGCAGAAAGTGTGAGAGCCCTGAACTGCGCGCCATGATGCCCTCGGCTTCGCCTCGGGCATCATGGCGCGCAGTGCAGGAATCTCACACTTTCTGCCCTTGTAGTGTAATATACTATTTCGGTACTTTGGTAATTTTGACATGCTGAATCTAGATCTATGATCAAAACTGTTAAAATTTAATCATAGGCGTAACATTTGAAGGGGGCAAAGTTACAAAAATAGCCCCAACTTTTTTCTGGGTTAATAATTTAATTTTTTTTATGAAATTATGAGAATTTATAGTTTTTTACGAAAAATAGGTACTCTTGATTTGAATTTCCCAGATGCACCATTTTCGAGAAAAATGCATTTATAAATAAATTACTCTGCATATTATACACATCTCATATTTTCATTAAAACTTTGTAGTAGGCTTTGGAAAAAAGTGACGTTTTTTTTGTTTTTTTTTTACAACACTTCCTATGTTTCAGATATAAATATGTGATTTTTTTACTACATGATGCTAAAAGTTGAAAAAACGAGAAAATTCGATGGAAACATTTTTTATAGAGCGTTAAATTTACTATAAAAATCTAAGATGTTCCTTGCCATAAGTTGATTCGATATAGACGTATAAAATTCCAAAGTTAAAAAAAAAAATTTCCTATGTTATTTAAATGAGAAATAGAAAAATGCGATCCGCGACCTCTAAATCTTCAAATTAAAAGCTCAAATTTTAACGAGGTCTTTGTTTTGACATCTTCTCTGAAAGAATTTGCTGACCATTTGAAGAAAAAGAAAAAGTCGATTTTTTTGAAACACCCTAATATGTATATATATATATTGAATATACAACAACTGTTCCTCTATAGATCTCCTTTCTCACCACAACTCAAAGGATAGTGACTTAAAGATACAACATGCCATATTGAGTACGCTAAAAAATTTAGCTATTCCAACACAAAATAAATCAAAATTATTAGAGGAGGGTCTTATAGACGTCATTTATCCCATAATTGAAACTGATCAGTATTTAGTTATCTTTAAATTACTGGGCACATTAAGAATGGTTATAAAGGAACAAGGTAGGTAACAAGTTTTCGTATTTTTACTTTTTAATTTAATTATGTACTATTTGCAAATTAAACTTTACTTGTAAGGCAATAAAAATAAATGTTATGTCCTTTCTCGTCTTTAACTGAGAAGTATAAAATTTTGTACAGTTTCCAGGTAAATGTTTTGTTTGCTTGGCGTGAAATCCCCAGTATGTCAAATTAATTTATAATTATAATATAATTATAATTAATAATTATTAAAGGAAACAATCGTTATGTATTACACTATGTAAATATAAAAACAACTATGTTTGAAAGTTTTACGTGAATTAATGTTTCGCTACACATTAGCTTCATTATTCTGAAGAAGCTACTGTGTAGCGAAACAATTGTCAACATTAAGTAAAATAAATTACGTGAAACTTTCAAACATAGTTGTTTTTATATTTACATAGTATAATATGGAGTTTTATCAAATAAAGGTAGAAACAATTAATTATCGTTATGTATTATTTTAGATGTGGCTGCAATGGATTTAGTGTCTAAAAAAGAGTTCTTGGAAAAATTAGTGCACTGGTACAATAATTCAGATCATTTAGGTGTGCGCGTTGAAGTGCCTCGACTGATTTCCTGGTTAATAAAAAGTTGCCATTCTTTTAAACCTATCCCAATTTTACTGGCGGTTGAGGATTGTGTGATACCTGTGGTTGAAATGATTTCTTCAAACTTTGAAGTAATGCAAAATGAAGCCTTTTATGCGCTACATTTTCTTATTACTGGGTGCTCAAAATTAAGTGATCAAGTTTTAAAAGAAAAACATGTTAATGGGTTGTCAAATAATACCTCAAGTGAAAACGGAGATTTAAAACAATTAAATTGTAAAGATGATCTTTTAGAAAAAATATATAGTGTCTTAGTTAAAGCCGATATTGGAAAGCATATAAATTTTTTTATTAGCAATTATTTTGAAAATATAAATAGGGCAACAGTTGAAAATTTAGTAACACTACTAGAACTACTTTTAAAATCAGATATAATAAGAAATCATTTGGATCAAATTAAACTAGAAGAGTCGTTAAAAAACTTAAGTGTAACTACTAACGACGAAAATGATTCTAAAAAAATTGAAAATTTAATTGAATTATTTAATAAATCACAATGAAATTGTATAATTGTATTATTGAATACATTTTATAACAAGCATGGGTTATAACGTAGGTATTTAAATATATTTAGCAATTGATAACGCGGTGAAGCCGCGTCAAGTTTTATAAATACCAACTTTTGGTAATAAAAGTCAAAATAAAATTGCATTATTTATTTACTTTTTTTTAAATACAACACTTGTTACAACATTTCCTATTTTCCCCCCAAATTTGAATTGTGGAGTTGGAATTACTTCAAATAATATAAACTTGTTGATAAAATGTTGTTCCAGTTCACTTTGAGTCCAATTACATGATGTTATAAACAAATATCCATTATCTTCTAAACACTCAAAAACGTTTTCAATATATTTATTTCTATTGTTAAAAGAGTTTTTACTCAGACTTATAGCATCATATGTCCCTTTATCATGTATGATAAAGAAAATGTCATTTAAACCACTAAGAATATCACATACTGAATAGTTAATATTTTTAGTATGTTTATCTGCAATAGATTTGGCCAGTTCAATAGCTTGAAGAGAGTAATCTACTCCATATAAATTTGTAAATCCTTCATTGGACATATCAATTAATAACATTCCATTGCCACATCCAACATCTAGGATTTTACTATTTTTACCAATTTTATCCAAGTTTTTTCCAAACCATCTTAATATTCTGTCTACTATGTCTTCACCAAACCAAATTTCACCTGGATCACCATTATTTTTAAATTCTTTTAATTCATTATTATATCTGATTTCCCAATATTTGTGTGTTCCAAGTTCACATTCCCCCAGTTCTTCCATTTCTAAAAAAAGATTGATTAGGTTAAGCTTTTATTTTTTCTCTTCATATATAAAGTAAATCTTTAAAAACAAGCTTTTATTAAACTAAAAATTAAAAAGTAATATTTAGTGTATAAAGTTAAATATAAAGCCACAGAAGAACCAACAAATTAAATTTAAATATTTTCTTTTTTTACTTTTTAGTTCAATAAAAAAAATGTATGTTTATTTTATAGTTTTTAGCATTCGAATCTGTTTAAATTTCTACCTTCACTTCTACATATTCAAGTGTTTAAATTTAGGGAGTGTATACGCGTACGTCGGACGTGGCTGTAATATTTTATATAGCCACGTCCGACGTGGGCGTGGCTAACTATCACTCGTTTTTATATGAAACAAAACTTATTATTAAGGTTTTATAAGTAGCTCATGCCCGCCTGTGCTACTTATAAAACCTTAATATTTAGTTTTGTTCAATAAAAAGTATATATCTTGTATGGTCTAGTGGTTAGGATACAAGGCTCTTACCCAGATATCGCTGGAGTGATTTCCAGAAGCTCGTGACAAAGTTTTTAGAGGAAATAGCCTGGTTAACGTACAAAAACCTTAAAAATTGGGGTTGTTCGATAAAAAGTATTTTCCCCTAAGGTATAATGGTTAGACAACATCGCTGGGGTGATTTCCAGAATGTAAATAGTGAACTTACCAGCGATGCAGGATACAATCCAAAACTGTCCATTTCGTGCATGTTATCACATGCGCATTTAATGCAAATCACAAACGGTCGGTAAATTGTCCGTGACTCTTTGCAGGAGCAAACCTGTTGTTTTATTCAAGAACGACTACATCACTACCCAACAGCACGTTTTACATAAAATGGACTCTGACCATGTCCAGGTCGTGTTCTATATAGATAAGATGTTTGTGTAGCCCACAGCGACCAGGCGCTTCTTCGACTAGAAGAACACGGATTCGAACTAGTACATCTGTGGGTAAAAGGCATAAGGGGATAAGTCAAAAAACGCAATTTTTCAATAGAGCCTTTAACGTGTTCGCATTAATTTAGGAAATATATGTATGTTTAGCGGGTATACGCTTTTGTTGGCATATGATATGGGCTTAAAAAAGGGTATACCCGCTAACCATAAATATGTTTCCTAAGTTAATGCGAATACGTTTAAGGCTCTACTGAAAAATTGCTTTTTTTGACTTATCCCCTTATGCCTTTTACCCACAGACAGGGTCATTTTAAACCAGGGACCCGGACCGAAATGAAATATCGGTTCCGGTACGGTTTTGGTTCACCCTATTTTCGTTTTAATGGTTCCGATTCCGGTTTCGGTTTCGTGGAGTTATAACGGTTCGGTTCTTTTCGGTTTTAAGCGGTTCCAGTGAGGTTATTTGTTTTACGTAATTTTAATCTATAACCTCACACATATATATATATATAAGCAAATAAAGGTTTCGGTTCCGGTCCAACAGATTTTATCAAAAGCGAAAACGGTTCCGGTTCGGGTTTCGGTTCAGAAAAAAAAACCGGTTCCGTTCCGGTTTTCGGTTTTCTTCGGTTTCGGTCCGGGTCCCTGTTTTAAACACACAGACATAATAATAAACAATCACATTGATACAATCTGCGAACTCATCAAGGACCTGAAAATAACGTGTTGGCGGTAAGATCTCGCACTAGACAAGTTTAAACCAAAACTTCCAGGCGAGGATATCCCGCCTAATATCACACACAAAATAAAGCAGAAGAATTTGCCCAAAGGTATGAACAGATACAACTCTGCATTTGATATTAGGAAGTACAATAGGCTACGACAAGGGGTGAATCACGAGGGTAAGGCTTTCAGAGACAGTTTAAGCATTTTTTTTTAAATATTTCAGCTATATATGAAAGTATAGACATAAGCAATTTTTTCGAAAACCTATATAATATGCTCTATATTAGTACAAAACTGAAAAAAATGTTATAAAATTTTTTGGTACCTACAGATAAAAAAAACACTTTTATTACATTGGTCCTCCTTGCCCCAGGTATCGGGGTAAGAAGGTCCACCATTTGAAACACCTGCACGCATTAATAATAATAATACCTCTTGATAGTTTTTAACGAATTTATTAAAAAAATTAATTATATAAAAACAAAAAAAAGCAAATTCTGTTGCGCCCTGCACAAATTGAAAATTTAAAAATTATTCGCACAGCTCGCAAATGAAAAAGTCATCTTCTTCTACCCCCGCACATTCTTCGTGGGCCCATTGCTCACAACTTGTGCACTGGACCCAGTCTCCTCCAACTTTACTCTCTTTGTACGGAGTTTCACAATAAATACATAAATCATCCAAGGTCCTGCTTGCCCCAAATTACCTCAAATGTCGCTAGGCAGGAAATCACCTCGTAACATTTTTCCATGCAATAGCATTGGTAAACCAATAGGTAAGGTTTGAAGCACATTTAATATGGATCACTATTATAAACTGAGTTTTCTTTAATTCCCCAGTAGTTTCTCAGGAATGGACAATATTGCGATGGAAGATCAATACCATGAAATTTTGATTTCTTTGTAGCACTTTTAAACAGCTGCTTATGGTCGGACCGCATTAACACAGCACTGACATGAAGCTTTGGCAACCTACTAACGTGTAATTTTGCGCCAAATTAAAACTTACTGTGCGGTGGACCGGTGGACCTCGCTGCCCCGGTCTCCCCTACTGGGGTGTGGTGCATTCTTAGGATTTAAGTAAAAACCGAGGGGTCAACCACCCAAAGGGAAAACGTCCAGGGATTCCCATGTATTCCCATTATATTTTATTGTATTCCTATGTATTCCTATGGTATTCCCCCTCTAAAATGTCCAGGGATTCCCAGGTGTGGGTGACCCCTCGGTAAAAACATATATTTCCTGATAAGTGTATTGATTCTTCATTCTACAAAAGGTGTCTTGACACTGCTTATTAATTTAAAGTATTACCAAATTATTGATGGTTCTAATTAATGATCGCGGTATTTCGGAGTTGCAACCTACTTTATATTTATAATAATTTTATATAATATATACAATCTTTCTTGTAACGACCTAATTACTATTGTTACTACACCTCAGGGGGATGTAGAAAAAAAAGGAAAAAAAATATTTTTTTAACTTTTAATTTAACTTAAACTAATTTCTAATAACTAATAAAATTACAAGTAATAAAATCGTCTTTACGTTTTTCCTCATTAACTGTCTAGTACTAAATGTACTTTTTCACTCTGTTTTTATGCACTTCTTTGCTTTATCTTTTAACACTACCCTTGTGGAAATTTTTTCTCTGAGAAAGTCTTACTTTCTCTGAAAAAGTCTGAATAATACTTATTAAGTCGGAAAAAGTCAGAATAAGACTTATTAAGTCGGAAAAAGTCTGAATAAGTCTTATTAAGTCAGACTAATAGCAAGATTTGGGAGTCTTCTAGAAGAGTTAATAAGACTTTTTAAGACTTAATAAGACTTTTAGTAGAGAAATGGTAGGTACCTACGGAGATAAAAATAAATATCCGAAATAATTCATAGAGGTTGTATTTGGTTATCGTAAAATAAAACACATAGAAAAGTATTTATTAACATTTTTGCTGTTGTTATAAGCCAAGTTTATTGCATAATTACCTATATAATAACATAGGTAAGATGTAATAATTAGGTATAACAATTATAATTTTATACATACGATGCGCTTGACATGCATGCTTCCACAATAGAAAAAGGGTTTGCCACTGTACGTTTTATTTTAATAGTTTCTTTTGATACACGCAAATATTTACCTATCTAAACATTAACACAAACAATAGACGTAAGACGTAATATCGAGAGACCAGCTTAGCTAGCTGACCAATTAGAGCAGAGCTGACCTGTCAGTGGGACACAGTGTTGCCGTTTGCAAGTATTTTACTCGAAATTCGGGTATTTTCATAATATTTGCGGGTGATTTGCAAATTTCTATCAAAATAATAACAAAAGAAATTTTCAGTAAATAATATTGTATATTTACTAAATATGCACAATTATTTTATTCTATCTTGTTACATTTTTATTATTATTTTAGTATTTTGTAATTTATGGTCAGGAACTTTTATGGCAACACTGTACGTAAACACGAAGATCAACCATGATACAAAGATGAATGAAACACGAAGATCAACCATATTTGTCTTATGAATCTATCGAAAATATCATGTCTATAGACTTGATATTAACTCCTTTTTCTATGTTGGAAACAATGAAAGCATGTTAAGCGCATCGTATGTATAAAATTATAATTGTTATAATTATTACATCTTACGGTAAGATTCTTACCTATGTTAGTATATAGGTAATTATGCAATAAACTTGGCTTATAACAACAGCAAAAATGTTAATAAATACTTGTCTATGTGTTTTATTTTACGATAACCAAATACTTACAATCTCTATGAATTATTTCGGATATTTATTTTTATCGCCATAGGAACCTACCATTTCTCTACTAAAAGTCTTATTAAGTCTTAAAAAGTCTTATTAACTCTTCCAGAAGACTCCCAAATCTTGCTATTAGTCTGACTTAATAAGACTTATTCAGACTTTTTCCGACTTAATAAGTCTTATTCTGACTTTTTCCGACTTAATAAGTATTATTCAGACTTTTTCAGAGAAAGTAAGACTTTCTCAGAGAAAAAATTTCCACAAGGGTACATTTGGAGATTCATCACGTAACACTTCATACAGTCCCTTAAATAGTTCCATTTTGTTTGTGCTATTATTTTCCACTAATCCTAAATCTCCTATATTGAAACTCATTTTAGAATTACGATTGTTTAGATTTTTTATTTTTATTTTTGAATTTAAAAGATTTTCTTTGGGCTTTGCGCTTGCTTGCTGTAGCCTAAATTTTAATTCAAGAGGATAGTTCTCGAACGAATAGAGTGGATCTATTTGTTCTAAATTTGATGGTAGTGAAGCTACTCTGCCAGAGTTTCATGATGGTATGCGGTTGAGTTAAGTTGTTTTATACCGATTATTTTTTTTTGACAGTTCTCTGTATTGTTGGGACATTGTTGAGGCATTGTTGTTGAGGGAACCTACAGCGAATTACAGCGATAATTAGATCATTTTTTCATGTTGATTTTAATTGTTTCGTCGCTAAGTTTATTAAGTAATTAACATATGTCAAAATATTGATTTGATGTTTAAGTGAATATCGTGAATTTCATTCCAAAATGAGTCGCTTTGGGGCTGTACAGTTACAAGATATCGACCAGGCGGTGAAGGATAATCGGCCAATTAATACCACGAAAAGCCAAGGATCCATTTAATTTTTCTTACATGTTTAATAAACCTCGGTCTATTTGTTAATTACTAAATTTTTATATTATAAAATCATAAAAATTTATTAAAATGTGTGTATTTTCCACATTAATAAAATGAACTGACATTTAAATAAGGAATGCAGTTAAATAATTGAGGTTATGTTGCCCAAATTAATGTGTATTTCTTCTTATTTTCAGGAACGATTAATTGTAGCACCCGGACAATACCATGTTGCCAAATGTACAACTTATTTGACGACTCCTAATGGCGGGATATTTAAATGTGGCCTTCGGCTCGTGTGACAGACTTTTCACTGAGCAGAATATACCTACTATTCCATGGTAGTAATGAGCTATTGTTTAGAACAGACAAGGTTTTGTTATTGTTATTATAGAGGGGTTTTCATTCTTTTAAGTATTTTATTTCTGTAGTACTAAGCTGTTGTTTGGAACTGACAAGGTTTTGGTGTTTGATTTTTAATCTGTGTTTTTATTGTTTTAAGTATTTTTATAAGTTTTAAGTGTTGTATATTTTTATGTTTATAAATTGTTAATAACAATTTGTTATGGCTTCAACAAACTTTAAGTGTGATATTTGTCAAAAGTGTTTTGCTTCCAATGGGAATTTAAGAAG